GATTCCAATGCGATGTCCCCGGTGCATCTCAGCTTCTTCAGAGCCACTCGTGCTCTCGGCCGGTGAAGGGACCCCGCTACCAAGCAAGAACGCACGCAGGTTCGACCGACCTCTCGGCACGCTCGGATTGCCCGCTGCCACTCGCCCCACCCCCCGCGCCTGCCTCGAGGAACCCGGCGACCCTGATCTCCTGAAGCCCCCGGGGTCTGTCGGGCCCTATGGCTGGAACAACAACTCGAGGCTGCGCGATGACGCAATGGAGCTGCTCGAACCTCTGGCAGTCCAAAACTCATAGGACAAGGGCCCAGGGGGCCCGGGGGGGCCCCGAGGCACCCAGACAGGGATGAGGGCTTCCGAGCAAAGAACAACATCTACGGCCCTGGCTTCGCCAGCGGCCGCCACCCCCTGGCGGGGCTCGGACGGCGCCCAGCAGAGTGGAAGCCGCTCTCGGCGACGCCCTCCACCTTCATGTCCCAATCCCCCGGGGCGATGGGGGCCCGCCCAGTCCGCGCGCGAACGCTACGGCGTCTGCTAAGGCAGCGGCGCCCCCCCCTGCAAGCCATGCCCCGCGTCGATGAAGAGGGTCTCAAGAAGGGCGCCGGTGACGCGCATGCGGGCCGATTGGCTGGACCATTCGGTCTCGGGCCCTTGCGAACGGCCCCCCCGCTCTGCTCTCTTGACCCCCGGGCAGAGAGGCAAGCGGCGCGGGCGCTTCTCGGCCGCGGCCCAGACTCCACCGCGATAACGGCCACGGGCTGCGCCCGCTGACGTTGCCGAGAGGCTCGGCCGCAGCCGCGCTCGCCCAACCTCTCGACGGCTGGGGTGCTGCGGGGGGCCCGTGGGCGGGGCTCGGCGACAAAGGTGGCGCTGGCCTCGACGAAGTCCCCGACCGCCTGATTCAAGTGGCCACGGGCCATCTGCCTCCGAGCCGCGAAGTCGGCGAAATCGAAACAGAACTTTCCTCTGGAGGCAATCTGTTCGGATGGGGGGGCTCGGCCCGCAGCGCCCGCTGAAGCCTCGCCCGCTGTCGCCCCCCGTCGCGCGCTAGGGGCGCCAAAAAACAAGGGTCTCCAAGGCGACGGGGCCCCGGGCAAGGCTCCCTGCCCCACCCCGGAAACAAACGAACGCTTCCCTGGCCGCGCGGGGCTACCTGGCCCCAGCGCCCCCCCCCCCCCGGCCCCCTCCGCGGCCATCGCGCGGGCCGCGCTCGAACTTGAGCCCGCGGACAGAACGCCCCAAGATGCCTTTTCCGGCGCCCGCCGCGCATCTGCCAGCGTCGCCGCTGGGCCCGCGCTCAAGGGCCCGACGTTGCAGGGCCCCCGCTGGGCGACCGGCCGCCGACGCAAGCGCCGCCAACTAGCTGCCCTTTGGAAATGCCGCGCGCCACCCCGCCTGGACCGGCGCGCGTCGCCGCCCCGGGGGAAGAAGGAATGCGCGGCCCCGCCCCGGGGAGGGGCCTGATCCAGCACTTTCCCATCCAGTGAATCAGGCGACCTTCTCGGGGGCGCTGCTGGGCCTGGGCGCCGCGGAAAATACTGTGGAAACGACGCTGGCACGGCCGGCCGGAAGAGCCTTACCGTTGCCGCCCTTCGACACAGCCCCCCTGGCCTCGGCGTAAAGCGCCGCGACCTTGGCGGCGGGGCCCCGGCCGCAGCCGCCGATGTTATAGCCGTCAGCGGGGGCGACCCAGTCTCGCGATCACCTCGCGACCTCCGATCGCCTTGCGACCAGTCAACTTCACCCACCTGCACACCGACTCCAAAAATGCGCAGCTGACGCAGCGTCGCCGCCAGCAGAAATGCCGCCCCCAAAGCGCGGCATCGAGAACCCCCCCCAGCACGCTATCGACATTTCTCTCGCAGCCCGGCAATGAGCTGCATCTGCGACTCCAGTATTGTCGACGCCTTGCCCATGAACTCCGCGAAGGTGCCCCTGGTGGCCTTCTGAGCCAGGGCCAGCAACTCGCCCTCGCGCATCTAGAGCTCGCCTCGATCCTTGGGCTCGATCTCGACTCCATCCATGCCATAAAACCCGAACAGGCAGCAGTCGTCGAACTCGATGCCCTTCCTGGAAAGCAGATCCTCCAAACTGATTGCTTGCACCTGCTGCTGCGCGGCATCAGATGGGGCCACCTTCGCAGCCGGGCCCAGCACTGTCTTCTTGCAGAAGGGTTCACACTCCTGGAAAATGACGACGGCCCCCACCGCTGCCGCGCGCGCCGCTCGAGCCTGCTGCCCAATCGACTTTGCCTGCCCGACGCATCTGCCGCGCCTTTTCGCCAGCTCCACGGCGTGCTCGGCTGCTCTAACGGCTGGCGCAGTTGGGGCCGACCTGCTCCAGTACCTGGATGGCCGCCTCGCCGCGCCCCGCCCGCGCGCTGCCCCCGCGCTCGGGCAGGGGCTCGAGCGGGGCGCGCAGCGTCGGCAGCTGGTCGACGGCGCAGCCGTTGGCCTTGGCCGAGGCCCAGCCCGACACCTGGATCTGCGACCCAGCTGGCAGAGCATTGCCAGCGGGAGAAGGGCGAGCAAGAGCGACAATCAGGATACCAGAGAACAAGTGGAGGCATCGGTTGCCCCAGACGCCCAATGGTTTGCTGATCCGCTGTCAACCCGAGGCCGGAATCTCTTTGCGGGCGCCTCCGCAGCGTCTGCCCCGCAGCGCCAATCGACGATTTTGCTGCGCCCGCGTCGCAGGTGCCCCCAGACTTTGGCTCAGACCAAACGCCACTTCTCATTGCCCAACTCGGAAGCATTGCGCCCGTCGCGCCCCACGCGCAGAAGGCGCGAGGCGCGCCCGGCGGACGACGGAGGAAGAAGGGCGAGGGAGGGCAAGGGGGGAAGATGGGGTGGAAGAGGGGCGAGGCACCGCCCTTCCCTGTGCCGCGGAAGACACGGGATCCCCCCCCCCCCCCGCCCGCGAACAGCGCTAGCACGGCGCGCCGACGGCCGTTGCGCATTGCAAGTCAGGGCAGAACTAATCCGCGCAGGGTCGAACGCGCGTCGCGCGCGCGTCTCGCGTGCGTCGCGCGCGCGCGTCGCGAGCGCGGCGCGTGCGTCGCGCGCGATGCGCGCGTGCGTCGCGCGTGCGTCGCGGGGGTCACTCGCGCGTCGCGAGCTGGCGGGGGCGCGTCGCGCGCGGGTCGGGGCGCGTCACGCGCGCGTCGCCCAAGCCATTCTCGCGTCGCGCGAAGTGTCGCGCGCGCGAGATTCGCTCGAAAGGCGCCGCGGACTTTTGACGACGCGCAAACTGCACGGCTCGCCGCCGGAACAACTCAGGCACGCCCGCGCGAACAGTTGCGACGGAGGCGCCGCGCGCAGCAGCGCGGGCATGAAAAGAAAGTAGTACTTAAAAGGCAAGATGCGCCAAATATCATTCTGGATTGGCACGGCCCGACTTGGGGCAAGGCTCAAACCGTCAAGACGCGAAAGCCAGCGCATCGCAGACTGCGACAGGGACAGAGCACACGCAGACGACGCGGAGACCGACAAGGGGCGCCCCACAAGCAGAGACCGCCGATATGCCTACAGCACACCAGCTCCAAACAGCAAAGGAGAACGCCACGAAGAGGAGGCCAGAATGCATGGGCAGACACTTCACACAACAACAGAGGAGTCAGCTGGCGCTGCGGCCAGGCAGTGGCAAGGCGCCAGGAAATGTCTAAGACCTGCGACCGAATCAAACAATCAGAGCATCCTTCTCTTGCGGAGCAGTCTTGACTGCAACAAGCTCGACATTGGAACCGATTGCCTGCCATGCGCATCTTAGCACTGCGCCAGCGTCAACCGTGAACGATGCGCCAATTAAAATGGCACGCTGGTGGCCGAATGGGAACGCACCTGGGGCAGTATAGCCAACCACCATTTGTTCGCGAGACGGACCATGACCTCTTCTTGCACGCTTGGCAATGGCAGGCCGCAGTTCGTCAGAACTCTCGCTCTCGTCCCGCTGATGCTGCAGAGCAGGGGCTTGAGAAACATCTCGCGCGGGCAACGGAGGCCCCTCGCGCTTTGGCAGCGACCCGATTGTCACAGCGCTTTCGTAGGAATTTCCAGAACACCTTGCCTGGAGATCGCACGAATGTCTCCCACGAGCAGCTCCTGGTGAACCCTCAGATTGGCGCAACGGCCCTCAAGCGGACAAGCGTGAGAGCAGCCCGCTCCTGAACCGAGCGACCGGGCTGCCCATCAGCATAGCTGCTACACAACGGAGATCTGGAGAGCGAACGAGGGCGACCCATTGCGACAGGCAGAGTGGTGGGCTGGAACCGAAAGAGCTGTCTAAGTTTATCGTCGTAACTCCTTTGCCTGCTCTCTGCAATGCCAGCAAAAATAGCATTCAACGCACGGCGCCTGGCAACTACCTTTTTGGGAGAGCGGGAGTCGGCCTGTGGAATCGACAGGGTGCGCCCCATCGGGACTGTTAACGAAACGTCATTTTCCACAATACCGTGACTATCGCATGCACAACCTTCGTCACGGGCATCACTGGTCCGGCTTGAAATGGGACGATGCCATCGACTCAGACGGTGCCTAACCAGAATTCCTTCCGCACGGACGGCTGTGGCCGCGCAGCTTCAGGCGGAGGTACTGGTAGCGAAAGAACAGGATCAGCTCCAAGAACCTGCGAACGCTCATCGAGCCGAAGCGGCCACCACTGAACTCCCACAGGTGGTCCAGGAGGACCAGCAGCAGGTGGTGCGGGCGGCGGCGGGTGGCGCGGCGGAGGCAGAGGCTGCGCAGCACCCTGCCACACTGGTGGAGGCGCCGCGGCACATCCTGCCGATCTGGCACCGCAGGCAGCCAAAGCGGAGGAGAAGGAGGAAAAGGACAGCAGACACGAGCGAGGACAAGAAGGCGAAAAAAACCATTCGACCTACCCATCCTCCTCCTCCTCCTCCGCCTCCTCCGCCTCCTCCTCCTCCTCCTCCTCCTCCTCATCATCATCATCATCATCACCACCAAAAGCAGCCTCCTGCGCAAGCGGAATAGGCGCACTGGGGCCTTGCAGATGCAGTGGTTGATTGCGTTCCTCCAGTTCCAGTACGTCCGCTGGGGCACCTGGGCCAGCGCAGGGGCCCGGGATTGCCGCGATGCATCTCTCAGAAAACTTGTCACGTCGCAGCGCGGCAAAGGTAATCCGCACGCGGTTCAGCGAGACCGGGGCACGGCGTCGCGAGTCAGCCCGCATGCAAGAGGGGAGAAGATCTCTCAAGAAACTCCGAACATGGAGAAGCAACAAGCCACATAAACATACACTGTCCGAGGTCCGCGCGGAATTCGGCGCCTCCTGCGCCACCCCTGGCGCGCTCCGCGGGCCAGGGACGGGGGTCCAGCACCGATCCAAGAAATCCGCGCGGACCTCCGGAAGTTTATGCGGATGCGGGTTCCCCTCTTCCAACTTCGCGCTTCGCGCCCAGCGACCCGCAGTTACCTTCGCGCCCACACGCCGAAACTCGCCCACGAGCTTCCCAGCCGAGACAGGGAGGTATGTACACGCCATCTTGGGGCCCAGGGCCTGAGCCTGACCAGGCACGCTGTGACACAGACGCCGTCCGAGAAAGAAAAGAGACGATGCCCGTGAACTCGAAGGAGGCTGTTGCGCGCGTGACGATGGCAATTCATTCCTGCGCGATGGTCGCGAGTGCGAGCGAACTGGCAGAAGTGGTGCCGCACGTGAATTTCGACGTGCACGATTCCTTGCGCTGCCCGGAACGCCCGAAACAAGAGTAGCAAAGCGTGCACAGTGGACGACGGACCGCGCTGCCCAGCAGACTGATACTGCTGGGGGGCATGCACAATAGGTACGCGCTTGGAGGAGGAGGATTGCGAGGACGTGTTCCTTTGGGCAGGGCGCGTGAGTTCTTGGCCTCAAGTCAAATACAAGTCGTGCGTGTGGACGTACCACTGCACTGGCCAGAACTAGAAGATGCTGGAGGTCTTTTCGCTGGAAGTCAAACATGGGATGTCCAAGCCTCCAATAGCCCAAACTTTAGATGGTGCCGTTGGTGTTGTAGTGCTGGCGCTGTCGGAGGGAACGAAGGAGAAGGAGGACTGAGGGAAGAGGGAGAGAGGTCGAGGACGAGGAATCAAGCGTGCTGCTGGGACGGGCACTTCCAGGAGGATGAGACCGAGGACGACGAGGACCCCATGCCCCTGGGGAGGGAAGAGGAGGTGGAGGGGCCATTGCCCGACTCGGGGGCGCGACCCCACGCCCGGCCCTCGACACAGGGGCGGAGAGTCCCGTAGTGGGCAACAGGCTAGGCGAAGCACCTGGCGATGGCGGCCGAGGAGCCAACGACGCAACACGCCACAACCGCGTCCTCCCCCGCCCGCAGGACGATCGAGTCCGCCGACATCGACTGTCCGATTGCGAGGCAGCAGCACCGGCTTTTCAAGGGCCACCCACCTTTCCGAGCCATGCAGATCAGACACCGGGCCAACCGCGGCCTGGCGAAAGGCTCGCCGCAGGCGGACAGCTGCACTGGAAGCAGCCCTCAAAAAAACACCTCAACGTGCAGGACGGCGGCGCCATCAAGTCTGACGTAGTCAATCACACCAACTGCGGCCCCACCAGCAAGTATACCATCATCAACATCATCACAGAGGTCCCCAGCAGATCGCCGGACTGCCATGGAAACAAAACCCATTCCAACGCCGACATCGACAATACGGCCGGCGCCCATGCCAATATCGAACTGCAGGGAAGGCACGATGACAACGGAGTGTTCATTCCTCGGCTTACTCGTGGCTTACTCGTCCATCACGGACATCGTGACGACCGCACAGGGCGCGGTCTGGGACGTAGTCGAGCAGCCTGGATAGCAGGCAAAACGACACCAGCACCCCCGAAAACGAGCAGCTCTCCACTGCGAGCGCAGTTGCCGGCACCAACACCAGCGTCACTTGCCGCCACCAGGGCCAACACCGTCGCCACGAGCAGGAAAAACAGGAAGCGGACGCCGACCCCCGGGTGGCCGCATGCCCTGTGAGGGAGCCCGTGGAAGGCACATCAGAAGAAGAACAACGGCATAAGGCCGCGGGACGCCGCGGGCTACCGCAGGACGGACGGACGGACGGGGGATAATCATATGTCTTGACTTCGCCCTAGCAGCGGCGGACACCACGGGGCACCACGGGACGCCGCGGGACACCGCCAGGGCCACCGCGGGACGGACGGACGGAAGAGAAACATTTGTCTTGACTTCGCCCTAGCAGCGGCGGGTATATTCCTCGCGCGCGCGCCCACGCAGCTTCGCCTCGCCCGCTCGCGCGACACGAACGAAACGAAACGATTTCCCGGTTGTGGCGGAAGTTACGCGGATGCGTGGGGAAAGCGTATTTTGGGGCTCTTTTTCCTCCAGCGCAGCTCGCAGGGCCTGCGGGCATGTTATGAATTAGTGGCGTCCGAATCACGCATGATCCCGGGCACGCCGCCTGGCCGAGCGGGGAGCGGGTGGCGGGCCCGCTCCTCCTCGGACACCCCTCGGGGTCACCACTCCGCCCAGGGTTCTAGAAAGTGAAATTAAACCCCGCAGTGCCTCGACGCAAAGTCGCGGAGGTCTAGGATCGCGCCTGTAGCGCATCTAAGCAGCACGCAGCTCAAGGCCCTACTCGGACCACGCCCCTTGTTCTCGCGGCCCCACAAGCTGGAAACGGGGGCTGGTCGCCCGCCAGGTACACTTGACCTGGCTCTGAGTGGCAACCGTCCTTCTGCGGTCGCCCTTCTTCGACTTGATCTTCACTGCTGGCTCACTCAACCCCTCGATCGGAGCACGAGGGTGCCCCCCGCCGTCGCCGCCGCGCGGCGGGGCGCCCGCGCGGCACCAGCTCGGCCTCGCACGCGGACAGAAACAGCAAATCAAGGAAAATCCCAGCACAGCGAACCGGAGTCCTAGGCTCACGCCCGCCATAAGCACGGCCAGGCTCACGCAGCAGCCCTCAGTCGCGACTCTCAGCGCGGTCACTGGAGTCAGCGCACTCTCGCCCATCTCCCGCGGCGCCTCGCACAGCTCGGCCGAGCTCCCCTGCGCCGCAGTGGGAAGCGACGCGGCCGCTGCAAGCAACACCTTCAGCAGCTTCGACTGGGCCTGTAAGTCGGTCGGCATGGCCCCGACTCCAGCAACCCTCGAGGCCCCCGGCACGGCCACCTCCTTCAACCCGCAGCTCTCACGGAGCCGCTCGAGGCGTGTCCTCGGCAACACCTTTGCGCCGAGATCCGCCCGGTTGTTCTCGCCGTCCACAGGCTCGATGGCGATGGCCTGCTTGGCCGCCAACTGCTGGATCCAGAGCGTCTTTGTGGCGAGGTGCTCGATCCGCCCAGCGCCCTGACGCCTCGCCAGCGCCCTCGCGCTCGAGCTGTCGCATCGCCAGCTCACGCGCGCACTGTAGCCCATGAGAGCGAAGAGCGCCTTCAGCCCAAGTCCCTCGCTGAGACCTCGAGCCCCAGCGTGCCACTCGGCTTCGCAACTATGAAGGGACTGCACGTCTTGGCGACAGCTGATCCCGAGCATTGGACACCCGCGCGCAAGGATGTGCACGCTGGTCTGGCTCTTCCGCTCCTTCGTGCCGCCTGCCCAGTCGGAGTCTGCCCACGCGACCAGGTCGACGATGACCTGCGGCGTGGCCGGCTTGGCCATCCTCGCGCCCAGCTCCCTCGCGCCTTTTCAGGTACCTTGCAAGCCCCTCGAGGGCTCGCATGTCCGCCTCACGGGGCGATGAGATGCACGAGGTCAGGTAGTTGATGTCGAACTGGGCATCCTCGCGGTCGTGCAGGTAGAACAGCAGGCACCTGGTCACGCTCCTGAACAGCTTGGCCTCGTCTGGGCTAAGGTCGGGCGTGTCATCCCCGCCTGCCCCGCGCGCCCCCGCCCCTGCGGTGGCGCGCGGGCTGGCCCCCTCAAGGCCTAGTGCCCCCAGCGCCTTCGCGAGGTACTCCTCGCCGGGCTAAATGTAAGTAGCGTCGGCTTCTCGCGCGCGCCGCCTCATGAGAATCTCGCGGCCGGTGCCGTCGCCCTGTAGACCTGACCATTCCACCTCGATGTCACGGCCTAGGTCCAGTGCGAAGTCGGACCCTGCAACTCCAGGCGCTGCGCCGTGCACGTCGCCCATGCGCAGCTCCAGACATGGGGGCTCGGCGCGCTAGATGAAGCGGGGCGCGGTCGGTGACCGCTGGAACCCCCTCGCCATGAGCTGCTCCGCAGCGGACTCAACCCAGCGCTCGCCTCCAGCACGCCGCCCTGGCAACTGCTTCGCGAGCTGCCAAACGTAGTCCTCGGCGTCGCCCGCCGCGCGGCACTCTTCCAGGACATCAGGTGGGCACTCGACCCACGCGCCCTCCTCCTCGGGGACATGGTAGCACGCGCCATCCGCGTCAACAGCAAAGGCGGGCCATCCGTGCTTCAGAGCCGCGTAGTCCACTACTCGGCTGCCGGCCATGCTGCCCCCTGGCGCGAAGAGGTCGTCGCGGTACTCCTGCCGCTTGAACTCTCGCGCGACGTACCTTGACTTAGTGATCCTGCACCCGAGGTTCGCGCCCCACTTGTAGACGTGGCCCCCGCGGGCGCCGATCCTTTTGCCGGTGGCCTCGCCCCGCTCGACGAGCTTGCCCACCCCGCATTATTTCAGGCCGTCGAGGGCCCGACGGGTGGAAGCCTCCATCAACTTCGAGTCCGACGCATCGTGGGGATCTGGGACACCCATGTCCCTGAAAATCTGTAGGAGGCCAGGCCGAACGTCATCGCAATGCTCAGCTGCTACTCCGCTAACTCGAGACCTCGCAAGGGTGCCACGGTTGTCACCCTCCTCCGCGGGTCGCTTCGGCGATCGACCCATCAGGGGCGCCCGCGGAGCCACACTCGCTGGCGTTGCAGCCCTCGGTGTCATGAGGGCGTCGTCCCCAGCGCCACCTCCAGCCGACGTCTGCGTCGCTGGCCCCGCCTGCCTGCCCCCGGCGGTCGCCTCGGCACCACCTGCCGCGTCGGCCGAGGGCGCCGCCATGGGCGCGCCCGTCTGGGCTGCTGACCCGCCGCCATGGGCGGCCCCAGTGGTCTGGACAGCAG